GTACATGTATATGTATGTATGCATGATGTGTGTGTATGTACATGTATATGTATGTGTACATGCATCTGTATGCGTCTGTCTGTGTATGTACATGTATATGTATGCATGCATGCATCTGTATGCGTGTGTGTGTATATACATGTAGATGTGTGTATATGTAAGGTTTAGGGTTTAGATAATTTGTGTGTGAGTGTGGTCTTTAATGTTTGGGGAAAATTTCTAAGTTGGTTACTATTACAGGATTAGTGGTGATGGATTTGCTATGTTTGTGAATTTCAGAAATTTGGATACTCGAAGGAAACACTTGGGCCTTTAGCTTTTTGAGGTATATTCATTAATGGCGGTTTTCTAACTATAGAATAGCATTCATTTCCAATATTTTTGGTATTTTGCCATGGTTGTAATTCACATTTAAAGGTGTAAAAACAGGTGTGTTGTATATATATATATGGAGTTGGAATATATGTCGACTGTTACAAGCAAATATAGTGTTGACTTATAAACGATTTTCCCATCCTCATTTACATGTTCAATGTAGACTTAATTATGCTAATCAGCCTCTGTTGCAAAAACGAATCTCCTTTGTGGCTAAGTGAAAACATGCAGATCATCTTATTTTATTAATTTCAGCATAAATTAACACTTGCATTTGATCAGTGTGAGTAAGTATGTAATGTATGGAAAAAAAAACAGTTTAGTTTCATTACGATTTATTCAAAAAGATTTATAAATATTTGCCTTCGCGTATTGTTTACTTATAAAAAAAAATTGAATTATTTGGTTCATTAACATTATATTTAATTTGTGATTCAGAGAAAATAAAATGGTGAAAGAGATCGATCGAAAAGAACAACAAATTTTAGGAGGGGTTTTGGTAAAAGATTTAAGAAGCTTGGTAATAGCTCGAAAAGAAGAACAGCTTCGAGGGACAAAATTGTTTTATTCAGAGACTGGTCCAGGACCCAGCACATCAAGAGCACGAAAAATAGAAAAAACAAGAATGGGTTTACGTGTCTATGGAAAAGGTGTCAATCGAAACAAATTAGTGGTTCACACTATGTATTCACCTAGAAATCGTAGTAATCCACCGAAAGAAAAATGGGCAGAAGAGCTTTTTTGGGTTGTACAATTGGATTTGCAAGTTTGATCGCCCAAAGAAGATTGGGATGCTCCTTCTCTGGTTCATCTCCACTGTAGTGGTTTTTTGGATTTTAAAAAATATGTAGGGATCATCTAGATTTTAAATTTTTAAAAAAGGTTTTGTAAACCTTTTTTGGTTGCTTGGTAACCATAATGATGTAAACGATGAAGTGGTTTTTTGAATTGTAAAATATGTAGGGATGGGTGGAATTTTGAATTTTATAAAAAAGGTTGCGTAAACTTTTTTGTTGGCTTACAAGCATAATGATGTAAACAATGATCACCCTTATCGATATAATAATTAAGTGTTGTTGCTACTCATTTTCACACCTTTGTGGCTTTGATTAATTCATTTTTGCCTTTGACAAAAAAAAAAATATATATCATTTCTACCTTAATGCAATTTTTCCCTGATTTTGTGATTTGACAAAATTGATGTTCATATTCCATTTACTAAATCACAAAAATAATCACATTATTCAGTGGTGATTCATGTTTTGCTTCTGCTTTGATTTACTTTGATTTTTTTGTTATTTATTTTTATTAGCTGGTTAATCCATTGTTTAGCTAGGATTGTTCTTCTTATTTTTTATTCCATTGTGTTGTGTATGTGCTTACATTTTTAGCCTTTTTTGGTTGGTTATTTTTTTATTATCCAGGTTTTCGCAATTAATTGCTTACGCTTGCCAGTGATTCCTTTTGCAACTGAAACTGGTTAGCTTTCTCGATTTTTACATATGAATTGGTTTTAAAATTAAACATTAATCTCATTTACTTTCTTTATTTTATTTTAGAGGATTAAAAAAAGTAGTTAGTTTTGGTAAATGTGGATGAATGTTTTAGGTCTTACCATAGTTTACATGTGGTTTCTTTGATTTTGTTATTTATGCCTAAAAACTTGAGAATGTTTGACAAGACCGCTAATATTAAGTGGTTTTTATTGCTGGTGTTGACCTAATTTAATTAGATGATTTAATTAGGATTTTGTTTTTGTGGTTATATTTTGGATGTATTTGTGTTTTTTAATAGTGCATTCTTTACGTGTGGCGATTTGATTTGTAAGTAAGGCTTAGTCATTCGCATGTTCTTTTTGTTTTTATTTGCGTAGTATTATGCCTAGAAAAGTCCGAATATCTGCGAGGGCAGCTAAAATTCAACACACCAACTTAGGCGTTTTCAATGGCGATGTTTATCCGGATGATGTGATTTTGCAAGATGTCCCAACTTCTTATGATCAAGAATATAACAAAGTTTCACACTCTTTACTGTTTCATAACAATACAACCAATCATGTCCAACCCAATACATCTGTTTTTGAAACAAAATGCATTCATTGCCAATGGATTCAACTCATCTTCGTCCGCTGCTAGCACTTCACATGAAATTACCATCCCTGTTTTCCTTGCCAATGATGCCACTTTGCGTGGTATATTGATCTCTGATACTCAAGACGATCATCCTGTTAGAAGCTCACATGTGATTGGCCAGGCCGCTTATCAAAAAAAAAGAAAACGTATGCGCTCTCTGACAATATAGTCCTCTTTGCATTGTTTTTAAACTTATTTTAGAAGTTAACTTTGGTTCGCTACTTTGGGGATGATTGTGTCATCTTTCTTTTCATAGGTGTTGATCCAGACTATGTTGATTTTGGCCCTAGAAATTCTCAATGTCAATATTGTGGCGCTTTGTTTTGGTCTACTGAGCGGTTAAAAACAAACGTTTCTTCTATTAGAAGGCCACAGTTCACTGCATGCTGTATGAGTCAAAAAGTTAAATTCCCACCTGTTAAGCCCACTCCCTGCTTATTTGGAACATCTGCTAAATTCAACAAATTCTCAAGAAAGTTCGCATTTCAAAACAAATGTTAGGTTGTATAATTCAATGATGGCATTCACTTCAATGGGGGCTAAAGTTGATGCATCGATAAACAAGGGTCAAGGTCCTTACGTTTTTAAGATTAATGGTCAAGTGCATCATTTAATGGGTTCTTTGTTGCCTCCTGAAGGTGAGAGCCCTAAGTTTGCACAGCTCTACATTTATGACACTCAAAATGAAATCAATAATCGTATGAGTTGTTTTCCTCATTCAGAAGAATCTTCGAAGGTTGACGAACAAATTGTTAGTGGGCTCATTAAGATGTTAGATGAGTGTAATGAGTTGGTTCAGTTATTTAGAGTCGCAAGGGATAGGATTAATGAACAGTCAACAAGTTCTCTGCGCTTGCGTTTACACGGCACACCGAGCAACCATGATGCGCAATATAATCTGCCAACATGTGATGGCATAGGAGGGTTAATAGTTGGGGATATCGGTCAGTTTCATACCGAAAGAGATATTATTGTTGAACACACAGGGCAACTGGCCTACAAAGGATAACAAAGTTGCATCCAAAATATATGGCCCTTCAATATCCTCTTCTTTTCCCATATGGTGAAGATGGATACAGTAAAGGTCTCCCTTGGAATCCAGATTTCAAAGGGAAAAAACCCAAGACTGGCGGAGTGTCTATGAGAGCATTTGTGGGTTACCAAATTCAGGATAGACCAGGACAGGATAGCACCCTGTTAAAGGGTGGCAGATTATTTCAACAATATTTAGTAGATGCATATGCCACACTTGAAGAAGATAGACTTGATTTCATTAGGGCAAATCAAAATTCCTTGAGAACTGAGCATCTTAAGGGAATTCATGAGGCGTTGAGAAAAAGGAAATGCAAGTGGTTCCGACATTGGTAAGAGGATTATCTTGCCAACTTCATTTACTGGCAGTGCTAGATACATGATAAATATATTATCAGGATGCTATGGCTATATGCCGTCACTTAGGAAATCCTGATTTATTTATCACATTTACATGCAATGCTAAGTGGCCTGAAATTATCGAAGATCTACGTGAAAGACTTGGTTGTAGGGTTGAAGACAGACCAGACATTGTATCCAGAATTTTCAAAGCAAAACTTGACCATATGGTTAAGTATATAAAATCAGGAAAACCTTTTGGCAAAGTTGAATCTGATTAGTTATTGTCTTTTCTCAGTTCTCAAGATTATTTGTTTCTTTTCTCTTATAAGCATATACATCAGGCGTTCTGTTTTGATTTTTTTTTTATCTTATATTTCTCAAAACAGTGATTTACACAGTCGAATTTCAAAAAAGAGGTCTCCCACATTGCCACATCTTGGTTTGGGTCAGTAAAGAGTATAAGTGTCATTCTCCTTCTGATGTGGATTCAATCATTTCGGCTGAAATTCCTAACCCAGAATTTGACAAAGATGGGTATGATGTTGTTGCGCTGTACATGATTCATGGTCCATGCGGTCTTGCAAATGAAAAATCCCCTTGCATGAAAGAAAAAAAATGTTTAAAGAGATTCCCAAAACATTTTTCAAATGAAACTACTTTTGAATCTGATGGTTTTTTGTGAAATACAAGCGTAGAGAAATGGAAAATTGTTTTGTTGTAAAAAATGGAGTGAAGCTTAATAATGCGTTTGTTGTTCCTTACAATCGTGAATTGTTATTAAAGTATCAAGCACATATAAATGTTGAATCGTGTTGTCAATCAATGCTTATTAAATATCTTTTCAAGTATATAACCAAGGGTGTTGATAGGGCCAGAGCTGTTTTTGAGGATCAAGAGTTTGATGAAATTGTGGCTTATCTAAATTGCAGATATTTATGCCCTTATGAAGCAGTTTGGAGATTGTTACAATTTCATATTCACTTTAGAGAACCAGCTGTTCAAAGATTGTGTGTCCATCTTCCTTCTGACCAAAATGTTGTTGTCTAAGAGGATGATAATTTAAACTATGTTGTTAATCAACCTAATCTTGAAAGCACAATGTTAACAAAATGGTTTGAAATGAATGCTCAAGATCCTGATGCATGCCAGTTATCTTATGTTGAATTTCCTTCGAAATATGTTTGGAATAGTGAAAATAAAGAGTGGACTCGAAGGAAAAGTGGTAGATGTCTAGGTAGAGTTGCGTATGTTCACCCTGCTGCTGGTGAATTATACTATTTGAGATTATTGCTTAATTATCAAAAAGGTGGCTTTTGTTTTGATGATTTAAGAACAATTAAAGGTGTTCTTCAACCCACATTTCAAGCTGCATGCAACTCACTAGGTCTGTTAGGAGATGATAAGGAGTGGAACAACGCAATGTTAGAAGCGATGGTTACTGCATCATCGTATCAATTGCGACAATTGTTTGTTACATTAGTTTTGTTTTGTGATGTTGCTGATCCAACAACTTTGTTTGAGACACATTGGAAAATGATGTGTGATGACATCTTGACAAAGATGGTTAATGCTTTTGGCTTGCAGGATATGTCTAAGTATGAGGATGAACTTAGAAATTCTCTTTTGTATGAGTTAGAAAAGTTGTTTGTAGTTTCAAATAGTTCTCTGTCTAAACATCACCTCCCAGTTCCAAACAAAGATTTGATGGATAGACTTAAGAATAGAAGTTTAAGAGAGGAGTTAAACTATGACTCTGAATCACTTAAAGAACAACATTCAATATTGATGGCACAGTTGAATCAAGAGCAAAAAATAGTTTATGATAGTGTTATAGAGGTTGTTGATGGCAACAAGCCTGGTCTATTTTTTGTTCATGGACATGGTGGAACTGGTAAGACTTTTTTGTGGACCACTATCATAGCTAAGATTAGATCAGAGAACCGTATTGTTTTGGCGGTTGCTTCGTCTGGAATTGCCTCCCTTTTGCTTCCTGGCGGAAGAACTGCACACTCTCGATTTAAAATGCCTATCAGCATTACAGATTGTTCAATTTGTGAAATAAAAAAAGGAACTCATCTAGCACAATTAATTAGTAATGCAGCTCTTATTGTTTGGGATGAAGCACCAATGAATCATAAACAATGTTTTGAAACTTTAGATAGATCTCTTCGTGATGTTCTTAAAGGGTCTAAACCAGGTTTTGATAATTTGCCATTTGGAGGAAAGCCAATTCTCTTTGGAGGTGATTTTAGACAAATTTTGCCTGTTGTTCCAAATGGAACTAAAGCTGACATTGTTGAAGCTTCATTGACAAGTTCTTATCTTTGGCCTTATCTAACTGTTTTTTTTCTCAAAGAAAACATGAGGCTTTCAAAAACTGGTTTGAATGAGCAGGAAAAACAGGAGTTAGCTGATTTTGCAAATTGGATATTACAAATTGGAAACGGTAATGTTGCTAATTCTATATTGTCAACTGATGAAGAAAGTTCTTGGGTTGAAATTTCAAAAGACTTTCTTATTAATTTTGATGATGATCCTATCGAAAATATGGTTTCAGCGGTGTACACAGATTTTAAAACAAATTTTCATGATGTATCATATTTGAAAGAAAGAGCCATTGTCACACCGCGAAACAACACGGTAACTGAGATAAATGATTTTATGTTGACTATGGTGCCTGGCGAAGCTCGCACGTACCTCAGTTTTGATTCTGTGTCTTCTTCGACAGAAAATGTTGAAAATCTTGATATACTTTATCCGCTAGAATTTTTGAACCAACTTGACTTACCTGGTTTGCCGCACCACAAGCTAGCATTGAAAGTTGGTATGCCAGTAATGTTGCTTAGAAATTTAAATCAAAGTTGTGGATTGTGTAACGGGACAAGGTTGGTGGTGATGCAGTTAACTGATAGAATTGTGGAAGCAAAGATCATAACGGGTAGCAAAATTGGTGACAAAGTTTACATTCCAAGAATCATTACGGAGTCATCAGAAAATAAATATCCGTTTACTTTGCGGCGAAGACAATTTCCTCTTAGAATTTGTTATGCAATGACAATTAATAAGAGTCAAGGACAATCTTTGAAGATTGTTGGGTTATTTCTATCTCAAACAGTTTTTTCTCATGGACAGCTCTACGTTGCATTGTCTAGGGTCACCTCAAAACAAGGTCTTAAAATTGTGATTGCTCATGATAGTGATATGCCTTATGGATACACAAAAAACATTGTTTATAAAGATGTTTTGAATTGTTTACATGAAGGTGTGTTGATTTGTGTTTGTCCATTCATTTTTTTTTTCTCTTTTTGTCTATTTTTCAAAATTCTAATGTATTCTTTGTTTCATGTGTGTTGCACGATTTTGAGGATTTTATTTGCTTCTAAATTTACTTTATATAGATTGATGGAGCATATGCCAGTTCGTCTTCTGTTACCATACAAGCCAACAAGAAAACTACAAATTAGGATATGCAGAATTTGGGTGACAAAAAATATTGGAGCTGATCGTCAACCTGCAAGTTTGGACTGTGTCTTTGTTGACAAAGAGGTTACATCTTTACACATTTTTCTCATTGTTATATAGACACAGTTTTATATTTGTCGAAATGCATCTATCATACTTTCAGTATTAATTCGATTTTTCCTTCTCATTGATTAACATTCCATCTTTTTTGTGTTCAATTGTGGTTTGCAGAAATTTCTGAAGTAAAATATTCATTAAATGTTTTGTGAAATAGGCATTTTTCAATAGCGTAGTTGTGCTGTTGGTTTTTTGATGATGTGCTTAATGTTTATTTTGGATTGAATTTCAACTTCTACATAGATTTATGATTAGTAAACTCTCATGGCAGTTTGGAAATGATAATTTGTTCACGAGCTTATTTACTACTTTAATGATTAATTTAATTTTGTTTTTCCTCTCTAAAAGGGACATGCAATTCAGGCGACCATGAAACCCTGGGACATCCAATTCTTTTTGGACCGTCTAAAAGTTGGGTTCGTGTACAAGATAGATAAATTTCGTCTTATCAATAACAGAAAGTCAAACAAAATTGTCCCTCATGATGCCATGGTTGAGTTGAACAAAAACACTACCATAGTCCCAGTTGAGAAACCAAATCAACTGATCCCGATGCATTGGTTTAATTTAATTGAATTTGATGAGCTTCACAAGAAAGTCGATAGAGATGTAAACCTTACAGGTAAAGCGTCTAATTTTGACTATTGCCACTACTCTAAAATTATTATTCTTAGTTTTTAACTTAATTTAGCTTAAACTGGTTCTTATAACTATATCATACATAGATGTTTTTTGGTTGTTTGATGGCTTTACAACCGATTGAGGAAATCACTGTGCAAAATATTAGAGTTGAGAAAAAGCGAGACCTCAAACTTCAAAATACTAGGTGAACCATACTACTCATACACTGTTATTGCATATTTATACAAATATAGTCGTATAAAAATTACATAGAAAGTTCTGACTTTATTTTATAATTGTAGAGGTGAACAAGTTACAGTAACACTATGGGCAGAAACTGCAACAAGTTTTCAAGACGATGCATTGCAGTCACTTTCGTCGCCTCTCTTCATTGTTTTGACTTCACTCAAAGTGAAGAAATACAAAGGTTATACCTTAACAAAATCTATATGTGATCACTTTACTTTTGTATTGATAATTGTTATCTTTCTATTTATAGGAAAACCTGTTTTGGGGAGCACAGGCTCAACAGTTTGTATTTTCAATCCTGATATCCCACAACTTTCAGAATATAAACAACAGTAGGTGAACAAATCTTATTTAATGTTTTTTTTTTGTTTATGTTTTTACCATCTATATTCTTGAACCAAAAAATGTGAAAATCAGGTTTGAACACCTCAAAACACCCATTGAAATTCTACAAACTTCTGCTGAAAAGTATGGAAAGGGTGCTGTTATAGCTGATTCTGAACAGAAGACAATTGAACAACTGCTTCTTCTTGATCCGGCATTAAACAAGGTCAATCCATTATCACTAAATCGTCTCATGTTTTGTCGATTTTATTTTACAACTGCTTTCCAATTGATTGTTTGTTGTCATTTGGAAATGACAAATTGTTTCTTAATCTATACTGTGTTGTGCATACAAAGTGTCGTGTTTTTTGTTTCTTTGTTCATTTATAAGCTTTTGTGCAAAAAATTATACAACTTATCTTTCATGATTCAATGTACATTCTCCAAAATGTTACCTCATGTCCAAAATATGAATTCTGTTTTATAATTTGGGTGGAAATGCATATACTAAGGTACAAGTGTCATGTTTGGGAGTTTATTCTTAAATGTTTTTTGTATTTGAAAATTTAATATCATATCAGAATACAAGTTTCGTATGCCAAGCAACAATTGTCGATTACGATTTGACCAAAGGATGGTGGTACAAGTCGTGCCCGTATTGCCACAAAAGTGTCAAGAATACATATGGAACTTTCCAGTGCTTTGAACATGGGTCACTCGAAAAAATGCCTGAGCCATGGTAATTTATTAATTTATTTTTTCTACACTCTTTATATCTCTTTGCAATGAACATGATTTTTATTCCAAGATTTTTTTTTTAAATTGCTAAACTTACATCATTATATCTTTGTCATTTATTTAGGTTTAAGATGAATTTTATTGTGGATGATGCCACAAATCAATTCAACTTCTTAGTGATCGGAAGGACTGCTGAAAAACTTTTGGGTATCTCTTGCCACTCTTTGGTCATAGAAGAAGGCTACGATGACTCTTCTGTGTTGCCACCGCACCTTCAAAAATTGGTTGGCAGCACAAAAAAGTTCCAAGTCCGTTTTGGTAATCAAAACAATGAGTTTGGCAACACCGACTTTGTTGTTCATGGAATAATTGAGGAAGAAGCATTAGTTCACCCAAAACTTAGTTCGATTGTACCACGTACACCTGCTACCAACACCGGGAAACAAGTTATTGATGCAGCAACCCCTATCCCTATTACTACCCTGGAATCCCAAATCCGACAAATCAAATCAGTTGCGACAAACAAGAATGTAAAGAGGACACTATTTGTTGAAAATGAAACTTCAAAAACTCACAGGTTAAGTTTCCCCTTCACATAATGTTGGTATTCCATTAAATAAAAACATCATGCATGCACTTTATAACGTTCATTTCCATCCTTTTTAAATTTAACATGTTTTCACAGCAAACATGATGAGGGGAGCCAACCACTGTCTACTAATTCAACCAGAATCTCGGCAGAAATCTCTAACTTGGTTGTCCCAAAAGTTGAACCTGCAGACAAAACGCCGATCAGTACATTAAGAAGTAGATCACAAGCAAAGAAAATCAAGGACAGGTATAATGAGTTATTGCTTACAATAATATATGCCAACTTGAACAATTATTGAATTTTTGTTCTTATTTGCTGCTCAGTGTTGGAGATGTTCATTCGCAAAAGAAATGAGCTATAGAAGACTTTATCATGGACTGCTGCAAAGGATCGAACATATGTATTTTTTGGCTATTCCACTGTTATAAATATATACTTTTTGGGCATTCCACTACTAAAGTTGTCTTATTATTTTATGCAACTGTTGGAACAATAGAAAGCCTTGCAGAACATGTATTTTGTTATGTTGCATGCAGAAACAAAATATGTGTAAACTGCATGGTATTTCAGTCTTTGATGCAAAGACACTATATTTTATCATTTGCAACTTTTGTCATTATAAACTTTCCTTCAAGTAATTTCGATTGTATATTGTCTCTCGATGTCAACTTAATAGAGTAGCAATGTAAATTGAATGGCTTATTTTATGTATCAATTCACCTATCTTTTACTTTTTCTTTTATGAATATTATACATGGTTTGAATACCCGCAGCAAAGCGCGGGCATTCCTCCTAGTACTCTTCTAAATCACTATTTGTGTTACTTGAATCTTCTGAGTCTGAATCTATCATGTTAATACTCTCTATACTATAAATACTCTCATTATCACTTAAATTATCTAAACTGTATATTGACTGAATATCCTCATCTTCTTCTAGCTTAAGTAACTCCATCAAATGTACTTTCTCTTTTGACTGTTTACCTAGTTTTGGACATTTAGGTCTAATATGTCCAGCTTCTCCACATAAATAACATTTACAATTACTCTTATCTTTTGGTGCTTTATATTTTCTAATCCAAGGTTTGCCACTTCTTTTTCTAAATTGTTTTGGAATATATTTTCTCTTCCTATATGTTCTTGAAGGTCTTATACTAAAATTCTTATGCTGTTTGTACGGTTTATATGACTTATATTTCTTTTTGTGTATTTTCTTATGCTTATTTTTCTTATGACAACCATACTGTTGTGGTAAATCTATGTTTTTACAACTCATGTAAAATTGTTTCCTAATTTGTCTCTTAGCTTTTATTTGACTACACTCTTGTCTAAGTATATCGTATACATGTTGAATTCTAGGTCCTATTGCAATATCATTTTTCTTTGGATGCTTTTGCCATTCATTCCAAATCTTTTCTCCTATTGGTCCTTTTATTTTTGTCATATAAGTATCTAATAAATTAATATCACTAATTCTACCTGTTCTACCTAAATATTTAAAGAAATCAGTGGTATATTCAGCTATATATTGTAAATCACAAATTTGTAATTGTTCTAAATTTCTAATTGCTCTTTTCTGCTCTTGTTCACTTCTGCCATCTAATCTATTATGATCTAAAAATTCTTGTTTAATCAAAGTAACAAAACCATCAATATTAAAATGTGTTTTAGCTGCCTGATGCTGTTCTGGATTTTGGACTTTCCATGACTGGAAATAATCAAAAACTAAACCATCTAAAGTATGCTCAAAATAATCTAGCATATTTTGTGAATTACTAAAATCTAACATCAATGCTGCATGTACGCAACCTTTTTCCCATCTTTCAATTGTTCTCTCCCAATCTTGTGGATCTACATTGTCTAAGTTTAATATATTACCAGCTATATTAATTTGTTCTAACCCTCTCAAATATGGAATCCTATTTTTTCTAGGTTTTATCAGGCTTTCTTCTATGCGGTCTACTCTTGCTCCTTCATTATAATGTTTATTTGTTGGTCTCAAAAATTGTTGATCAGTTCTACTTGCTTGTCCTGGATTTTCTACTCCTGATGTACTACTTTCTTCTGCTGGATTACATTCTTCTTTTAATTCTAATAAATTATTATATTCTTTTGATCCTAAAATATGTTCTACTCCTATTTCTAAGATTAAAATTTTCATCTCCTCATCTAAAATTTTATGTAGTCCTAAATCATATGTCTTATATTTTTCTAAATACTTTTCTTCATCTAAATGATCAATATCTTCTATAAGCTTGTCTACAATATGATCAAAGTTTTGCTCAACTAAATTAATATCTAGATTATCAAAAGCCATATGTATATTCTCATTTTCGATCTCACTCTCATCCTCTTCTATTTTTTCTAGTTGTTTATAATTACTAAACCTAATTGTTGCTTGACCTGTACTAGTTTCATATATTTGTACTTTATCTGGTTGTCTATTTTGTGCTACTTGTAAATTGGGCAATGTCCACTGAGTTCCTTCTAAAAAGCTATTATCTACGGGTTTTGCTTCTATCATATTTACATGCTTACTGCCAAACGTTTGGACTAAATTTTGAAACTCTAAATTAAACTTATGATTATATCTATCAGACACTTTACCTATATACATTAAGCTAATACACAAATTTTTATATTCTCCTTTCATATTATAATTTTTTGTTCTTATGCTCACTTTAATATATTTTACTAAATTCATTAATCGTCATAACATAATTTGGAATGCAACCTATGACTGCTAAGTTTGAACTTAAGTCTACTTCAGCTGTTGCTATTGCTGCTTGTTGGTGATTATCCCATCTATCATCATATATGTATACTAAAGCCTTTGTACCTACTTGTGCTCTGGTTAATCCTGCTATTCCAATTAATATTGTTCCTATATGAATCTGACTAAAATGTGATTTTCTCAAATGAGTAACTGCTTCTTTACTAATTAGATTAAGTGTGACTTCTTTATCAATACAACTAACTTCATGTTGACTGATGCTGCTTACAATTCTACTTCTGTTTTCAAATAAACCTAGTTGATACAAGTTATATTTTATTTTTTCTGTGTTCTCTCAAAACCTCTTCGAATAAATTCTTGTGCTTCTTCTTCATTTGGATAAATATTTTCCGCTCTAACTACTTCTTTTCCTTTTTTCCTAAAGAGTTCCATTTTCTATTATCAAAAGGATTTAGCTTAGGTCTTCTATTATTATTTGCACTCAAAGTTAAATTTTCTAATTTATCTAGCAAGGATGGTGGAAGTGATGAAGATGCGTTATGTAAAACTTGGTTTATTTCTGCTATTTGTTCTTCAACTTGATCTAATTTTTCAGCTAGACTTAAAACTAATTGGATAATCAAATTATTTTGCCTAATGGGAATATTACTACTGGATACTTGTGTTGAAAAATCTGTTAATCCTACTGGTTCTTTATATCTAATTTACTAATTTCTTTCAAAGCTTGAATATATTTTCTGCTAGTTCTAGAATCTGTCATTAAACTAATAATTTGTCTATTTTATTATGCAACTTATCTACTTGTTCTCTCAACTCCTTTTGTACGAATTGAATTTTTTGAACTTCTAATTTTAGTTGTTCAACTATTTCTAATGACCTAAGTTCTACTTGCTTTGGCTTACTATCTATGAGGTCAACAAGCTCTTTTATCTCTCTTTTGCTAGGAAACCTTTGAATATTTTTATTATTATCTTCTAACTGAGATGTAATATAATCTAAATTTTGTCTAATTATCTTTATGGATTTTTTTTGAAAATGTTCTAACAACTGGTTTAACAAATGATTATGCTTATTATTTTCTAATTTTATATTTTCTGCTTGACTAATAATAAGATCTATAATACTATTGGCTTGCGGATTTTCTTCACTGTGCAAAATATGATTATGCTTTCTTGATGGAAAATAACAAACTAAACTATTTTGGTCTAAAGTTATTTTTCTTTTTTGGGGTTCACTAATTTCTAAATTAAGATAATCTATCATATACTATAGTCTACCTTTCTCTAAAGTTACAGCTAATTGGTTTCTTAGAACCTCTCTTTCTTCTCTCAGGGTCTCTAAAACTTGGTCAGTTACTCTTTTTGCTTCTAAAACTTTATGCTGCACTTCAGTGTTATTATATTTACTAATAAATGAAGGATGTTCAAGATAACCAAGATAAAACTTTTGCTTCTTCAAGGTCCTGCTAATTCTTTTGGATATAAATGATAGTCTTCTCTTTATGCTATTTATAGTTGGATGTCTAGGACAATAAATACCTGGTAATTGTGGTTGACAAGGTCTACAGGGACAATAATATCTGTTATTCATACAAAATAAACAAGTGTGTGATATCAGTTGCTTTAATGACTTCCGTCCTCAAGGTACTTTACTATTATAATCATATTATTAAAATGCTAAACTTGGCTCTGATACCAAATTCGAAAAGCATGCATGGTTAAATAGTCAGATGACCATTATAACAACTAGACATAGAACCTTGCACATGGAACTCGACATGTTTCAGCATGACGGCCACTCACAGTACAAGTATAAGGCCTTAACGGCTGAACTCAGAGGTACAAAGAACTCAGAGGTACCCTGGTTAATGTCTAGTTATTTGTATGGCAAGCATTCAACTATAACAGAGTGCTCGAACAAAGTATGATCGTCAGTTTAGCAGATTAATAATATAATCACAATAGTGTTTCCCTGTTTTGGACTAGAAGTCTAATTAAACAAACACACTAAAGAAGGAAAAGAAAACTTACTTAAGACTTCAAGATTGCTTGAATATGTACACTTGAACTTTTATTGATATATGGAATGTTTACAGAGATGGTTGTTTACAAGAAAGTGATTACAAAGAAGTGTTTACAAGGATGCTATGAAGACTACGAATGCTTGAGTGTATGGTGTTTTCAGATATTGAGATATGTGTGTGGTATTCAGGTGTCTTCTGTATGGGAGGAAAAACTCCCTTATATACAAAAGCTGATTCCTAAACAACAAAATAATTTTTCAATATTTACAACTTTTTGATGGTGACAACACACTGTTTCTGAAAGCTGTCAGCACTGTTTCTGAAAGCTGTTGAAAGCCACGTGAATCCATATTGTCTTGGTTGCTGCAAAGTTTGCCACCTTATCTTTGGCATGCAAAATTTTTCTGAAATTGCTAAGCAATCTTGTATGGATGTGTGAAGGGCATGATTGGCATTTTTGCTAAGTTTTGTCCTGATGATTAAAGTGAAACTTTTGAGGGTGTTTTGGTTAGTTTTCCATTTATTTAAACGTTACAATTAGTGATATACATGCAAACGTACATTTTGTTTGGGCTGGATTAGTTACATATGGAGATGGGGGGAGGGTGTGGAATGTCAGGGAGAGGAAGGGAGAGGGAGGTCTACATCTCAGAGCCCAGCTCGAGTCCTTAGGTAAAACCCTATTGTTCCCTGTTTTTCTTTTCAGCATCTTACAAAACTATTTCTTTCTTCATATTCTCTTTATGTTTGGCTGAAAATTCTGAGTTGCCGACTCCCACTGTCTTCCTTCTCGACTTATTTGCCAAAATCTTTTCAGTTTCAGCAGCAGTGGCCACCACTCTTCCCCAAAGGTAAATTTCTCCTCTTTCTTAGATTCATAATCTTCAAAATCCTCCTCTACATCGTTTGATTTCTGCAATTTGGATTCCACAGAAACATGGACTTGCTTTTTTCTCTCTGCAGCGCTGCCCATTTTCCACCAAAATCACATCTTAAACTCTTCCAATTTCGAACACGAGATGTCCGGAGAAGGTCAGTACCCTCAGTCATACCCAATTTACCCAAATATAATTTTAATATCAGCGATGGGTTCGTGTTCTCTCGGAAATTTGCTCTGTTGCTTCCCGCTTTGTTTGACTGCATCTTTCTTTGTTTTAACTTTCATTTTTGTTTTGCTTTGTGTTCTCTCGCCGTCAAACGATGTTCTCTTTTTGTGAGGGTTGTCGTCCCAAAACGTTGTTGTCTTTCTGTGAGAGTTGTTGTCTAAAAAATTTCTAAATATTTCTCTCTCTGTGTATTGAGTCTAGGATTTGGGTCTATTTTGAAGGCATCTTCCTTTCTGTGAAGCTGAGGAGCAGATTCGTGAGATTGAGTATTCTTCTAAACCCCTCTTTTTCGTTGATGGGTTTTGTATATATGGGTGAATTTTTATATTTCATTCTTCAGTTTAACTCGTTTATTGTGATAGTGTTACATACATATAATATTGAATTTCGTGGAGTAGACTAATGCTTAGTATTTGATGCTGCTGTACCTTGAATTTGTTTCAAGTTCTTTTATATAAGATTACCCCTTATGAAGAAGTGAACTAAATAGGGTGATTCTTATATTTGTCAAGATTTGGTTCCCAAAATTAGTTTTACATGCAATAAGAATAATGCGGATTAAATTGTAGGTCCAAACGTCTCTTGAAGGAGATGTATATACCTAATGAATTTCTTAAACAATGAGTTGCTTAAACATGATTTGGATGGTAAACCTTCTGTTGATATACCAAGCTGCCCAGTTTTAGTGTTTGTTGATATAAAAGATGAAAAGCTTGGAGGACGACTCTTTAACGAATTTTGCTACCTTCTTAATAAAAAACAGGTATTTTCTCTCTATGTAATTGTCTCTCCTTGAAGAAAGACATTTTGAAATGATTATTTTAAAAAAGAAATCTGACCTGTATGATTGTAAACGCTTACCCTTCAACGTTTGGAGCCTCAGAAAAATTTATGAAGTTGAATAAGCGTTCTCGAGTATCTGTGGATGTGTGATATGAATTAGGTGGATGATACATTAATCCATACATTAGTGCTTGAAAGATTAGCTGCTGAAACAAGAATAACAAATGTTTTTTGCTTTGTTGTTTAGCTGTTAAAAACACGTGTCTGGCCTGTAGGACATATATTTTGCCATCTTAACTTGAAGGGCAATATAAGTGTTAAATGCATGTTGCTTATGTTTCTCAGGAAACAGAGCATTTTTCGCAATCGTATCTTTTGTAATCAACTCGGTTGAATGTATATAAAAATCAAACTGCTTATCTTGCCGACACCTTTCACTCATCTATTCCTTTTGTTCGTTCATGATTATGTTGAATTTTTTTTTCAGGTTAAATGTCTTATTCATGTGGTTAAGGCTGGTGCATTCAAGTCCCGCAGCAACGCGCGGGCATTTTTGCTAGTTGCATCTAAATTGAGTGTCTAGATTGCCTACATACTCTTAGCGGGTTCAAACTGACTTAGTTCGAAAATGGATTTGGAATTTAATTTGTGTGGCTTCGTACCATTTGAGAATTTTGAACTTTGGAATTTGATGGGTATTTTGTATTAGCTATTTGCTAACTGAGAATTTTGAAATTTGGAATTTGATAGGTATTTTGTGTCAGCTATTTGCCATCTGACATATGCATTGTAATGCACCATTTTATATGACTTTGTATGAGTTTCCCACCAGTTATCAGCTAATTGGCATTTAGCTAACCTTAATTTTGAGTTTCGACGACAAGGCCAACTAATTTGGCTTGGATTTGTTAATGGGGATTCGGGTTTGAATATGAATCTCATTAACCACTTGGTAGCTTTTCTATGATTTGGATTGCTCTACTTCTTTGATTGACATGGCTTTATATTCGGAAGAAAACCCCCTGCTTCTCTTGGTCTGTGCTGCTGAACTTTTCTTCCTTTTCGATTTTTGTCACGGGGCTCCATGGTCGCACTAGTAACCCTCGCGCCATAGTCTTCGCTATAGCGCGAGCGGGAGACACGACGTCTCTGAAAGCAAGTCTGAAGTCCTGTTTACCTTTGAAGTCCCGCTAGCCCTTCTCTTCTTCGTTAACTTTTGAGAAAATGAAGACTTGTTTTGCTTGTCTTCTTTTGAAAATTATATTCCTTTTGTGACAATGGAGGCGATGGGGTTGCCCATATTTCTTCATTTTCTTTTTTTTCAGTATTAAATTCTTTCTTCCCCTTACTTTTGTTTTGTAGCTTCTGTCATTTGTCTCCATGCTTTTGTTTAAGCTTTACCCAATATTTGATCAAAATGATAACCATGTAAATGGCATTCAAGTTATCTGGAGGACCTTACACCTTTTTCTGGAGTATTATTCTTTGAAGAATGGAGCAGCAGCAGCGTGCCAAATTCTTGGAGACATGTTCTTCTATTTTTTATTCAACTTTCGCCAACAAGCTTCTGGGTAATTTCTCTAGGTTAAGGAAGAGAACGTGGGATCATCTCAAATGTCTCCTTCTTGCTGCCTTCTTTTTATTGTTGTTTGCTGGCGATGATAACAGTACAACTTCATCTAGGTATTGCTTAACCTTGGACGCTATGTTGAGAATGAATCTCACATCAATTGGAGGAGAGGCATTGCATCAGCTTATAAGTCAGTTGGTTTACTCCCATATTGCTAATTGGTTTTATAGTAGAATCTCACTTTTTTTTCATGGTATACAATGAGACCGGGTAACTTCAATCCACCTCACCAAATTGCCAATTTTCCCAGTCCTCTGCCTCCCGGGCCAAGGAAACATAATCAAATTCAACAAAACTCTCCTGCTCACTCAACTCGACACGAGATCCCACAGGCTCCTAATCAACAGTTCAACAAACAATCTCGCATTTGCCTCTGGTAAGTCGGCGTCTGATCATGGAGGAGGACAACTTTATGATCCATTCTCGCTCAGCAAGTCATTAGCAGGGAGGTAATCCGGGAAACATGTGGAAGCAAGAGAATGATCTATTTATTACTATGGTTATTTATTATACAAGCAACAATGCAGAAGGGGTATTCGACGATAAAACCTGAGGTGCAAGAGTAAAAACACTCTTTTACCCACTTGAGCAATAAGCCCCTTGCCTTTCCATTTCCTTGTTAATTGCCTAATTCTCGACACATTAAATTAAATGCACTACTCGCTCACAAGTCACAAATTGCTAAAATAAAATCAACTGGGATAGGAAAACGGTGATCCCATAAACATCCATCATAGGGAGGAATTACAAAAGTTCAGGTTTAAGTGGCCTCGTTAAAATCTTGATCGGAGAAAACCCAGTGGGAAAAACTCCAAACGTAGAAAAGAGTACCACATTTATATTACAAATCCGGAGAGCTCATACACTAGAGTTGCGAGCAGCGCGGGAGAAGAAACCTTGGCTTAGAAATAGGCATGGTTGTCTTTAGAGAATCGCTCTCAATGCAAACACAAAACCAGCCCTACTGTAGTTTGTCAGCCAAATCTCAAATGAATGCCTCTCAAAACAGTCACTCCTGAAACCCCAAAATCTTGAGGACACAAATAAAAAAAACACTTAAAACATTTTACCAACTTGAGGAATATTGTGGATTACTTTAATTACGAGAATAAAGACGATTAACAATACTATTGAAAAGATGATACCTGGACCTGGAGACTAGGATCGAATCGACCATCAGCTTCGCATCATCTTAAAATCTCTACGCTATGTAAGGGATGTGGGATATTTTGTGCCAGTAGCGTCCTTTTCCTCGTTCGCATCTCTCTTTTAGCACAGGACACCTAGAGATGAGAAGTTGTGTAAGTGAAGGAGGAAGACCCTCTTCTGGAATGGATGCTAGTCGAAAACAACTGGAGAGATGTAGAGATTGAAGAGACGTTAGGGATTGAAAGCCTTTGCTGCTCAGTTTCATCAGATTCGGGAAACCACAAATTAATAGTCCAATGAGAGATTTGGGGAGGAGTGTCTCCGTCTGGACCACGTCGGGTGGAAACGATACCATATCCGGGTCATTGCCGTAGATCCATAATTTTCTAAGAGAGGTGAGTCTGTGCAATCCCCACTCCAACTCCCACAATGACTTACAGCTCTTGACTTTCGAAATTGTAAGTGATGTGAGGTTGGCGGGAAAGAAGCAACTCAAACCTTCACGGTAGTCAATGGTCAATTCCTCAAGAGAGTTGAGATTGCGCATGGCTTCGGGTAACACCTCCAATTTGTCGCAATCGGTTATCTTGATCTCTCTCAGGTTGGAGGCTTTTCTCCCCCCACTTAGTCTGGGGATAGAAACAAGACTTCCACAGTAATAAATATCCAACGTTTGAAGATTGATGAGGTGGTATAAGCCATCTAGTAAGTATTTCAGATTTTGGCACTTCCAGATCCTTATATATTCAAGACACTGATTAGTATTGTAGTGGGAGAACCCGTCCTGTACAATTAACTCCAGCTGTAAACAATCGTATATCTCAAGGTGTTTAAGTGTCCTAAGAAGCTGGCCGCTCAATGATAACGACGTCAGAGATTGACATTCCTGGATTTTCAAGTACTCAAGGCAAATGTGAGAAGACAACAGAGAAGAACCAACAACCTCCTCATCTACTAGTGATTTCAAACTTTTACAGTCACTTATCTGTATTCTTCTGAGATTTTGGGGAACCTGAAATTTTGCCAAATATATCAACGAATGACACTCTGTAATCTTGATGTCTTTAAGAGAAGGTGGCAGACCAACATCCTCAAAAGAAACCAGACGTGGACATTTGTGTATGCAAAGCTGTTGAAGAGACGACAACTGATTTAACCCTTTTGGTAGCTTCAAAATATTTTCGCACTTCTTTAACTCCAGACATTCAAGCTTGCACTCCAATATTTGCAATTGCAGCAACTCCTCTGCTTCTTTTCCCAATTCTTCAACTAGAGGAGAGTTGTCTTCAATTTCCAAACGGCCAAGAGAAGTCAACTGTTGCAATAATCTACCCTCGTTCTTCAATGAAGACATCAGCTCCTCACATCCATTAATCTTCAAATCTCTAACCTTGGTTAATCCCTTCTGGAACAATTCCCCTGTTTGCAGAGACATGAGCTCCGAAATGTTTGAAAGGCACAAGGACTCTAACAACTCAAACTCAACCTTAGCAGCTGTATGCACCAACACTTTACAACAGTCAATGTTTAAATGACGAAGTTGTTTGTGGTTGGCAATTGAAACCACTAATTCTTCACATTTAACAATTCCAAGCTTTGCTAAAGAATTGAGGTTCTCTGGCAACTTACCCCCCAGTTTTGAACATTTTTTTACAAAGAGCGTTTTCAGGCAAGGGAAAACACCATTTCCACGATCCAATTGGAAAGGAAGCCATTCCTTCCAATGTTGCATATCCACAAACTCAAGAGTCTCTAATAGCGGAAAAGGCGAGATGCACTCTCCATAAAACTCAGCACCAACACTTTCCACTGCATTCATTCCTCTAATATAAAGTTCTTTGAGCTGAGGCAATTGTCCAAGAGGTGGCAACGATAAACAATTGTTACATTCCTCTAACCGCACAAGCACCATATTAGAGAACAAAGAAACTGCAACCCATGATGAAAATTCCTTTCCGGCATAACTCTTGATGGTGAGCTCCTTGAGCTTTGTATGAGGCTGTAACATGTCAAGCACAGCAGATTCCGTTTCTCTTGTGTTGCTTGAATGAGACCATTCTAGGACCAATGAATCAAGCCTCTCCTTGCATTTTAAGTTGGCCCTCCGAGCATCCTCGACATCAATCACATTCTCCAATCTTGAGATGCACAATGTCCCGCGGAGATGCAATAGGAACTCTATCTCCCTTATCCTTGATCCATCACTACCACCACTGACCACAAAATTAGACAATGATTGGAGATTCACCATTCTACCCAGTTGTGGAGGCATTCCTCCCAACGAATATGCATCCAAGTTGTTTAGATGGCGCAAATTAATTAGATTACTCATCTTCGCAGGCAATGACTTCAATTTAGAACAACCTTCCAATATCAATGTTTGCAAGCTGTAAAGAGTGCTTGTTGATTCAGGCAAACTGGTTATATCTGTGTAGGAAAGGTCAAGATACTGTAACAACCTCAAATCACCAATTGAGTTTGGCAGCTCAGTTATTTTGTAGCCATTCAAAGAGAGCACTCGTAAGTATTGCAACTGTGGTAGTAACTCAAAAATAACCTTATGAGACAAATATTTACTCCACCACCTGGAATCTGAAAGCGATAGTGGCAGGAATGTTCGCAAACGTTCAACTTTAGGAAAGTCCTCAAATCTGGTAACTCCATCAAATTGACCAGCAATGAAAGACGAATGGCGAGCCCTTCGAAAGCAGGTGCGTTGCAAGTTATCACCTTGCTTATCTTCCAACCTAGAACATATTTCTCCTGCTGCCCATTGTGCTAAATCATTAACGAGGTCATGCATTACAAATCGTGAATTGTTTTTGCTTGATTCTTGAAACAACGACCTTGATAATAGCTCTCGAAAGTAGTCACGGCCCAAATCCTCCATTTGTTTATTGTCTTCAGGTTTTTGTTGAATCAAACCCTCTGCCATCCACAAAAGGACGAGTTGCTTCTCCCTAAATTCATAGTCGTTTGGAAGTATTGAGCAATAGGCAAAACACCTCTTCAAATTTGATGGAAGATAGTGATAGCTCAACTTTAGTACGGGGAGAATGTCACTCTTATCTGCTATATTCCACAATTTGTTGTTCAATATTTCTTCCCACTCATCTTTTTCTTTGCAACGTAAAAGGCCACCGAGAGTCCTTGCAGCAAATGGTAATCCACGACATTTTTCGACAATTTTTCTTCGAATTAACTCATAATTTACTGGTTTTCCATCGTTAAGTTCCCCGAATGCATGTCGCTCAAATATTTCCAAACAATCATCATCTCTCATGCACTTCAAATTATGGACTCCAGCGGCTCCCATAAACTTGGCAACATTCACATCACGGGTTGTCACAAGTATCTTACTTCCTCCAGCTCCGACGCCAAAAGGGGATTGAAGTCTTGTCCAGAGATCGTATAGATCATAGTCACCTTTGTTCCAAATATCATCTAAAACGATTAAAAACTTTTTTCCTCTTAACTGCTCACTCAAATCATGCTGCATTTTACTAAACTCCTCGACTTGAACGGGTCGGGATGTGATTGATTCAAGAATTGCCTTTGTCACTCGCACAACATCGAAGTCATCAGACACAGATACCCACACCTTTGGCTCAAACTCCTTCATGGCATCATCTTTGTGGTTGAATACAAGTTGAGCAAGTGTCGTCTTCCCGACTCCGGGCATCCCAACTATAGCAACTACACCAAAATTGACAGTACCTGCATGCTTGTATTTTCTTGACAACAATTCGATAATCTCCCCTTTGTCATCATCTCTTCCAACAACAAGCTTTTCATCTAACACGCCTGCACTTTGTAAACTTCGTGATTCCTTAGCAGACGTCCCAGTATCTTTCAAGCCAAACTTTTCTTTCCGTTCAGATATGTCTTGCAACCGCTCCATAATCTTCTTCATTTCGGAGTTCATATCAAACCTCAATTTAACTTTATAAAATGATCTCCGTATCTTGTTGCTTGTGTTGGCTTGTTCACGTCCCTCTATCATGCGCTTCAACATTTGTGTGGCAAATTTGTCCAACGTGTCTTCGATATCATAAGCCAAATCTCTGAGATCATCGAGCCACAGTTTTACAGCACCCTCAGTCAGTTGCCTTTCCTCGGCATCACTCACCACCACTCCGATTGTAGATAACGTGGTCCTCAACTTCTCCAGCTTCCTTCTGACGCCCCGGAAGTTTCCAAAGTAGTTGAGAATCTCGCGAGGGGTCAACCTGTCGAGCAGCAACTGTAGAAACGCCGCAAGAAAAATCTCTCCCAGTGCCATATTAAGCGTGAACTGACCTCCAAGCAATCAAAGAAACGGCGAACCGTTCTTGAGCGATATTGAGGTGCAGAACTCAACGAAAGGAAGAGTAACAGTCAAAGCCTAGTTCCTTGCAAATTTGGAAGCTTGATCTCTTGAGACTCAGAAATATTCACAACTGCACAAATTAAAATGATAAGAACTAATTGTTGATGCCTGCGCAATCATATACAAATTTATAGTAAATGTGAAATAATCAATGGACTCCTAGTAAGCATATCTAGAGGTGCCAATTTGAGACTTGGGATGGCAACATGGCGGATTCAGATCAAGGTTGCCTACATCATAAGTTTGATAACCGTCCCGCCACTATGTATACAGTCCCTGTTACGTTTTATGGAAATATTCTTTTCCTTAATATATACAAAATAATCTAACAACTTGATATTGTGTCTAAAGCACAATAAAACACACCATATAATGGCGCTTTACAGCAATGTCGGAAAACAATCATACTTATGGATTCGATCTCCACCGATCCCCTCCCCCTAACAACTAGCAATTTTACCGACAACACTATCATTTGTCAAAAAAAAAAACGTCATATAATATTACTCAGTAACAAAGTACAAAAAAAACACCATATAAATTTGAAAGACCGGGAAAAAGAAAAGCTCAATATTGCAAAAATCATATAATAGTATATATTATTTTCATAAATTTTGCCATATTGAACGGAAAAATGGGTCAGTTTTGGGATTACCCGTAACTGTAGGGATCCTTGCAATCCTGCGTTTCAAGACTCGAAACTTGCTCGAATATTGGACATGATCTGTAGCCAGGAAGTCTGTCAGGTCATGACGGCACTTGTTTGCATGGATCAGTTTGCACTTACGATCAACAAATTCAGGGTGAATGATGGAATAATTAAGGCAGGCTGAAAATTGCACAAATTGTATAGCTGGTTATTGATGAAATAATTAAGTATACAAACTTGAAGAAAAATGAAATAATTAATCTATAAATAATGGATTTGGCATATATAGTTGCAAGAGGAACTTACTGCATTCAAGTTTTCAGATGATGATGAAGATGAGATGAAGATGAAAGGACTTGTTTCCATAGATCATATGTGAAAATCAACAGATCTAGACGACTTTAGAGCTCTTCAATGCTACGATAATTAGGCGTTGACTTGGAAGACTAACAAGTCTTCGTCTTTCTGCCTAAAACAGTCTTGGATTCCTCTTTTTTCTCTTATCTTTAATTTTCGTGGGGTCATATTGTTTTGTCGTTTTTAATTGCTTTCTTATCTCCCAGGTCCTTTTATATTTTTAGAAAAAGATTCTCTCCGGATTTTTTTTTTTAGAGATTCGAATAATTAATCAATCATGTCCGTCGTAAGTTATTTATATACAATTTAAAATTTAATTTAAATTTTTTTGTGACCATATGATATATGATAAACAAACATGATTAATTGATCTTCTAGATCTCTACAAAGAGAATCTTTTTCCATATTTTTTTTAGAACTTTAACGAAAAGCTTCCGGTACTATTTACTTCAACGAAAAATCACATTTTTACACTAAAAAATCAATCATAATACTATTCACTTTATCTTTTATTTTATCCTTATTATTAAGACTCAAAATTTTTAACTCTTTTTTATTAGTTTTCCTTTTTTTTTTTTTTATCGTTTCCTCCCTTTGTACGAGAGATTTCGGGAGATGTGTACCAAACATGGAACTTCGGATGGAAGGGTGACTATTTGTAAACAACTAAGCTATATTCTCTTGGAACACTGATTATATTAATTTTGTGGGATGTGTTAGAGAAATCATATTTTAAACTATATTTATAAATTAAATGATGTATCATCAATAAAAAAAAATAAGTACGTTAGTCAATATTTAAGTAATAATCAAATCATCAACATTTACATAATTTGGTTTACAAAATTTTATTTAAAAATTTGGCTTTCCTAACATTATCCTATTTTGTGAGGGTGTTTGGTTCAATTTTTTGTCGGCCATTGTAAACAATGTAGGGACAATCAATTTAAAACGGTAAAAGACTGAAACAACCCAAGGGCTCTATACACCAGATTTACCAAAGTTATCGTGGATTATGCTTTTACCATCTTGTAGTTATACTACTTAATAAGTCATAGAGCTATATTATATTAGATCAATTGAATTAATAATTTTTCATGGTCATAGGGTATTTGTATGATGACCCATGTGGTAAAAAAAATTAGAAATTAAACTCCTGTTACTAAGACCGTCAACAAATTTAGCTCAAAAATAGAACTTACTAGCAGGAATGCCCGCGCTCTGCCGTGGGATTTGAAACCGTCTCTACCATCAACCAAAATAATTCTATAATTTAAACCATCCAAACTTGTTTAACATAGTTTTTTGTCTATCATTATATATTTCCTCTCACAATTTTTATGGAATAAAAATCTAAACATTAAAAAATTTAAACAAAATTTTGCAAATAATCTTGCATTTAAGCACGTTCAAAACCAGTGGCTCTTTCAATTTTTTTCTAAACAAAGAAAAGGAAAAGTGTTCATCACTGATATTGTGCATCCAATGTACTGGTTTCTTGTCCACCTTCTCCTCCTAACCCTTTTATCAATAACCCATCTCATTATGTTCCTCAGAGACTCGAAACCCAATTCCAGCGGTCCATTTAACACCTCCTAATATCAATTCCTAACAAAATAAATACAAACGCAAAATCAGCAGCGCTTTCAAATATTTTAAAGGGAAAGTGGGAAAATATTATCAAGAAAGATGCAAACGAAGTATATTCATCACTGATATTGAAGAGAAAACGAAGTGTATTAGTATATTCATCTTTCCCCATTCCTTGTAAAGTTGAGGAATTTTTTCTTAACATCTGAACGAAAAGTAAAATAACGCTAATACACTCAATTACAGCACACATAAGCTCGTGAACAAATTATCATTTCCAAACTGCCATGAGAGTTTACTAATCATAAATCTATGTAGAAGTTGAAATTCAATCCAAAATAAACATTAGGCACATCATCAAAAAACCAGCAGCACAACTACCCTATTGAAAAATGCTTATTTCACAAAACATTTAATGAGTATTTTACTTCAGAAATTTCTGCAAACCACAATTGAACACACCAATCTCTATATAATTCAGGAACCAATCAAAGCAGCTGAATACACATGGTAAAATAAATGTTGCAGTTTGATTTTGTATTCTATAAACTTTACATTAACGAAATACATTTAGGGATTAGTACTACAATGACATTGCTCCAACATCAATTACAAATCTTTTGAGAACAAATAAACAGAGTAGTGAGAGCTCGTACCCGAAGTGAGGCATATGATCACCCCTCCTCAAGTTCCCAAGAGTAACTGAATGGCGGGGCAGCCCCTACAGAATGTTTTTTAATCGATTCGGTAGTTAACACTGGTCAAATGCACAATACATATCTTAGAAACTATTGTCAGTTAACTTCTAAAGAAGTTAGAGCAAAAATTACCTCCAATCTTTGTTTCTCTTGTACTTTGGTATTGTGGGGTTGACTTGTAAACGGTAATAGAACTCATGTAAGCTGAATAATAAAAAGCCTTTTTTTAGTTAACTAAAAAGCACTTGTAAACGGAGTGAGATATCTGGTAACCAAAAAATGAATCTTGGAAAGCAGACATAAACAAACTTCAATCACAATTACTTTAATACATTTGGATATCGAGGAAAATTAGATTTATTCAATTTCGATATAAAGAAAATTAATTAATGCAGGTACAACATTTGTGCCTCAATGACATGAGAAGTACTCAAAACAAACATTGTTTTCTTTTTGTCTTTAGGCAATCTCTGCAAATCGCAATGAGTTCTCTAACTCATATACATTGATAATCATATTAACTAATTAACTTGCTAACCCCTCCTGTTAATTTCACACTTATGCTCCAAACAGATTTTGTAACTAATATCCCAAAAAGGGAGGAAAAAGGGAATAAAAAAACCTTTGTATGGTATACTGCAGTGTTATCTGTGTAAGCGTAGTTAAGCCCTGAAAGGCCAACAACCTCCTTGTATACTTGGAAACCTCTTGCAGATTTTATGGCTCCAGAAGAAAATAGATCATGCAACATTAATATCATTAAGACTAAAGTATTTTTCTGAAGTGAATACACATGAAAAGTATCAAAAAGAGAGAAGGAGAAAAAATTAAATAAATAAGAACTGCACACCTGTCCTATAATTTGGCCAGACAGGCATTTTGCTACCGAGGCAAAATTCTCAATAGCCCAAGCATCAGCCTATCAGATGAAGAAATATTCATAAGGGAAAAAGTAAGCTTAAACAGGATTTCATATATATGAACTCACTCTTAAATTACTTGTCCTATTACCAAATAGCTATTGGAAATGGTTTGAGTTATAAAACCTGACTCTAAACAGGCCTGATTCTTATCAAATAGCTCTTGAAAATTTGATATGCAAAAACTGAAACAAAGAAATAGATCCCAATCTCATCCCACAACGAACAATGAACCAAAGTTACATGAACAAAAACAATGTCAACATTTCAAGCTGTGCAAAACTAAACTCATTTAGGAAAGCACAAAGTCATACATCCAATCATGTCTCATTCAAAATTCCAATACTCGATTCTAAAGAATAAAGGAAGCAATAGCACTCAAAATCAATAATTGTAAAGAATACTGAGGGCAATAGCATTCAAAATCAATAGTTCGCAAGTCTCCAACCAGCATAGCAAAATGCAAAGAGAGCAAGTCTCCAACTCTCCAACCAACGTAACAAAATGTCAAAAATCAAAATGCTTATGGCATTAGTACAACATAAAGTTCAAAATATTAGCAATAAATTTAAAAATGCCTTATCTAATATCATTGAGGGCATAAGTTGGAAGATAAGACAAAAAACAAAAAGGGGTTGATGCAGGCAATATAAAAAGCATAAGAAAGGAAAGATACCCAAAATCCATCACAAATCATAGTGAAAATTTGTGTTATAGCAACCTTAAATTCAAAAATTTCTCTAGTTTTCCATGTTTTCTCATCAAACAAACAACAAATTCATATAAAATCAGAAAAGTAAAATTACTAGTAGCAGCGTGCTCCGGGGCTCGTATGACGGCGTTCCTCCACCAGCAACGGCGTCGAGATTGTTTTCTGAGGCAAGGATTACACAGGAAGTCCGTAAAATTCATGGACATCTGCAAGAAAACAAAACCACTGAAAGTCAGAGATTTCCAAAACCGAAAAGAAATGAGAGAGAGAGAGAGAGAGATTGGAGTACCGTAAGTGTATAAACATATTGGGAAAAAATTGCACGGCAATTACTACAATCTGAATAAAAATTCCACTGTTTATTACACAGTGCTTTGGAATTGTGTAAGTAGAGAAAGAATTGGAGTTCTTACAGAGTGTTGTCGAACTGAATATCAGCTTCGAGCACCTTGAGAGATTAATTGAAGGACTTCGTTTAACATTTATCAAATGTTAGTAAATTCTGTAACGTACATGGAAAAATCCAGAAAATTAGAGACGAACAAAAATAAGTGAATCAGACGACTGTAATTTTGAAATATCATCTATTTGCTAATACGACATTTTTCCATCAAAATGACATAAACCCCAAAGAAAAAATGGAAATTGGGAACGACCCATAATCTGAAAATTTACAAAAATTAACAGAAACGGATGAAATATGAGAGAAAGAATTGGAGTTCTTACAAAGTGTTGATGAACTTTCAGAGAAAGAATTTTATCGTTTTTACTCTTTTCTCATCCCTCCCATCAAAAATCCTAAACACTCATTCACTCCACCCACCTCAAATCCTATCTCTCTGAATATAGCAAAAATATACGACCCTTTCTCTCTCTGTAATCTGAAGAAAAATCTGATCAAAATTTATAAAGTTGGTTTTTGGTTTTGTAAAAGTGTGGACAGTTAGAAGGGAATTTGTAGAGAGAAGAAGGGTAACCTTTTCAGTAGATGGGAAGCAAAGCCATATATGTAACTCGGTTCGTTCAGAACCAACGATCATCCACACAAAACTTTGACTTACACAAAAACCGATTCAAAAAACCAAAACAGATACCCAAAATTATAACCAAACAATCAAAACCCACAATAAAAAAATCATATAACAATGCTTTCACAGAAAAATCTCTAAAAAACCCCACAAACCCCAAAAAAAAATCATGCAAAAATCTCACCACAGGGTAAGTCTAAAAATGTCAATTTTCATGCCACAAAATTGTGATACATTACAATCTAAAATCACACATACACATATCATACATACACATACATCAGAGGGGAGGAAGCAGATAATTTCAACAAACGCGACGGAATTCCTTACCTGGGAAAGGTTTGGCCCGATGATGTGTACACCCAGACTTTGCACATCCAGAAAGTGAAAAATATTGCGCCAATGAGATGCAAATATTTCAAGAAACCTACCAAGGAAATCAGACCATGCATGTGTTAGGTTTATCATTTGTCTGTCAAAATGCGCAGCAGAGACCAAAATCAAATAGATCGGTGTGTTTTACCTCTGGACTTTCCAGTTTCCAGACCGATTTGCAGTGGTGGACTGCAAACGAAGTTGCAGGCCTCCTTGATTTTCTTTTGCTTAACGGGAGAAAAGGAGGCTCTGGGTTTGTTGGGGAGATGATCGAAGCCTATAATTTTGAAAACAAGGATAGACGAAGCTCTCGAGTTACAGAAATGGAGGGCAGGTTTGTGTGGTTTTGGAAGGACTTGGATTGTCTGCCCTCCCATTTCGGTGGCCTCTCGTGCTCTCCTGTTTTGTGTGGTCACGATTAAGACACGTCAACATTTTATATTATTTTTTTATTAAAAAAAAAAAAAAAAATAGTAATATAAAATATTGACGTGGTTTAACCGTGATCACATAAATAGAAGGGTACGAAAAAGACACCGAAATGGAAGGGCAGCCAATCCAAGTCCGTTTTGGAAAGCAAGAGTCGATGCTATTACAGAGATGGGCTCAGTTTTCGGGTTCTGACTGCCAGAAAGGGAAAAATGAAGGTCGGGTGTGTTTCTGTCTCTCTCTCCCATCCCTTTCAATCTCTCAATCACTGAGACCAACCCTTGATTTGAGGAGAAAAAATCAACCCTAACCCCACTTTTTGGCAGCCTCACTCCTCTCTCTCTCTCATTTCCCCTCCCTGCCATCCCACGCCTATCTCCCTGAAAACCCTCCACACCACAGCCACACACACAGTGACATAAATGTAAATAATGCAAAATCGAGGGCCTATTTTAGAATTATACTAGTAAAACCGTAAATATATCGAAATATGTTTAGAGACAAAATTACCCTCCTACCTTTTGATAATTACCCTCCAACCAGCCCCATTTGGTTGTGGCATTGTAGTAAATAACGTGAAATCGAGTAGCAAAGGTCCTCAATTTTAGAATAGATAACTAGCAGGAATGCCCGCGCTTTGCTGCGGGTATCAACCCATGTATAATATTCATAGGAAAATTAACTACAAGTGCTACAGCAATACAATCACATTCTTAAATGTATCAATTCAGATAACGCGCATTTTACATGAGTAACGCTCACAAAACCACACATTTAGACAATCATCTCCAAATGAAAGAAAAAGCAAGAGATAGGTGAATTGATACATAAAATAAGCAGTTCAATTTACATTGCTACTCTATTAAGTCGACATCGAGAGCCAATATACAATCGAAATTACTTTAAAGAATGTTTACGTTGACAAAAGTTGCAATGACATTCTATAGTTACACCTTTAAACCTTTAAAGAAAAGACATTCTATAGTTACAAAACCGCTATGAATGAATATACCTCAAAAAGTCAAAGCCCCAAGTGTTCCCTTCGAGTATCCAAATTTCTGAAATTCACAAACATAGAAAATCCATCACCACTAATCCTGTAACAGTAACTAACTTCGAAATTTTCCCTAAATATTAAAGACCACTCACTCCAGACACAAACTATCTAAACCCTAAACCTTACATATACACACATCTACATGTACATACACACACACGCACACAGATGCATGCATACATACATATATACATGTACATACACACACATCATGCATACATACATATACATGTACATACACACACACGCACACAGATGCATGCATACATACATATATACATGTACATACACACACATCATGCATACATACATATACATGTACATACACACACAAATGCAGGCATACATACATACGCATGTATGTACAGAAACAGATGCATATATACAGATGTATGCATGCACATACACACACAGATGCATACATACATATATACATGCACACAGATATACATATATTTATATAGATGCCTATACATATATCTAGACATATACTTCAGTATATACTGATACATATACTTGCACATACATTTATACACATGCACACATATAAACTGCACTTTTCGGCAAATGGGAGTGTTTCACACTTGTAAAAATGTGTAGTTAGTTAAAGAGTTTTTTACATGTACACAGACATACATATAGATGTACACACTCTAAAAACATGTTTAGTTAAAGGGTTCCAATTCAAATCACAAAACAAAAACTTATTGAAAAAAAAAAAGTTTTTAATGCTAATCACCAAAAAATGGTAGCAACTTAACAACAACTAACAACACTCTAAAATTCATTGGCAAAAGATAATCACATACATTTATAAAATTCATTAGCAAAAGATAAACACATACGGAAAATGAAACCTAGATTAATCCGCAAACAGTTAAAGGAGCAATGTTTTTTAACGGTTTTTGAAAGAACCCTAATTAATCACATCATTGTCCAATAATAAACACCAAATGAAAAACGTTTTGCACAAACCACACAAAAATATTTTGGACAACACAAATAAGTAAGCCACAAACAGTTATTGAATGAAACCTGTAATGCAAAATCCCGAATTGGCGGTACGTTTCCTGCAATCCATAAAAAGAAAAGAACAATTAGTTTTCTTGTTCTCAAACAATCGAAATAAAAACATCGCATTCAAATTGGTCAAAGGGTTTTACACATTAATTACCAATTCAAATCACAGAACAAAAACTTCTTAAAAAAAAAAAAAAAAAAAAAACTTTTTAACACTAATTACCAAAAAATGGCAGCAACTTAACAACAACTAACAACAGTCTAAACATAAGCTAACAATAAGGTCAAATGGTTTATTATAGGCATAAATATTTGCACACACACACATATATGCACATACACAAACACAGAGGCACAAATACAAATAATTTAAAACAGAGCTCAATTTAAAAATGGCATTCTTTTAAGAAAATCACATATTGTAAATCAGTCTGTTGTGTTTACTGATTTTGTTCCAATTCAAATCACAGAATAAAAACTTCTTTAATTTTTTTTTAATACTAATTACCAAAAAATGGCAACAACTAACAGTCTAAACAGAAGCTAACAATACACTCAAAGGGTTTATTACAGCCATAAATATTGTAATCAAACACGAATGGCAAAGCTCCGATGAAAAAATTGAAAACGCAAAAAAAAGTGTAGGAACGAACCTTGCAAAAATGTTCAGACAGAGAGGAACCGAGAATGAGAAGAAAAACTCAAAAGCAACCAAGTATATAGAGACCCCAAAAATCCCCAAATTGATTAAAAAAAAAAACAGAAGCCTAACCTAACCAAACATGGAAAAAAGATTTGCAAAATTTTTTTTTGACCTTTCAATCACCACATGCACGCAACCATAAATGCAAGAAACAATATAAAAAAGTAAAAATTTGGTACAAAATGTAAGTTGAAACAGAGCTTATCTGACGATGTAACAGAGAATGAGCAGTGATCCCGACCCCCCTCTCTCTCTCTCTCTCTCTCTATCTCTCTCTCTGTCTCTCTATGACGGCATAGGTTGAACAAAGAAGAACGAAATAATGGGGAACAACCTAACCCCAATCCCTCTAAAACCCTAAGAACGAAATGACGACTCCACCCTCTAACTTGTAATCCTCATTATGCGATCTGAAGCACAGATGGGCAGTCATCCCGACCCCAACCTCTACCATCTCGCTCTCTCTTTATCTGTCTCTATCTCTCTGTCTCTCTGTCACGGCTAGGTTGAAGAAAGAAGAAGGAAATGATGGGAACAACCTAACCCCAATCCCTCTGAAACCCTAAGAACGAAATGACGACTTCACCCCTCTAACTTGTAATCCTGATGGTGCGATCTGAAGCCCAGATGGGCAGTCTCGTCATTTAGACTCCCAAAGGGCCGGCCTCACACCAACAAATGAGAAAGCCCAAGGAAAGTATCATGAGAAGCCCAAAACAACTCAGCCCTAATACCAACACAAATGAGATGGGTTTCTTGTAAATAAGGTGAAATTGGATGGCAAACTTGTGACTGTAGCTAAGCTACAGTCAATTCATTCCTCAATTTTAGAATAGATAATGTGGGCTCTTTTATACAAGAGTTGGAATTCGGGTAAGGAACTTCCCATCATGTAATTCTACTTAAACAAGATTTTATCACCAAAATTTTAGTATTCATATGCGATTAGGTTTACTGATTGTAGCATGAATAATATAGTAATACATTATCCTTTCACGTGCAAATATTATTTAAATCAATCTCTGCAATCCTTAGATTTTATTCTCGATAAAAGTGAATTCAAATCAAATTATTATGGATAATTCCTTGTAAGGTTCAACTCACTTCTCCACTCTTAATGTAAATAATATTATATATATATATAATTAAATACTTAAAACCCTTTAACCTTTTAGTGTCATTTTAAATTAGTCTCAACCTTTTTAAATATTCCAAACAAGTATCAAACTTATTGAAAATGTCACATTCGTCAAGTCTCAGTTAATTTTTCGTTATACGTACACATGAATAATAATAATAATAACTTCAAAAAAAGACATGAAGATGAAAAAAAAAATTCATGAATAAAATGGAAAACAAAATTGAAGATCGAGAAATTTAGAATGATATTAAAAAATTTGAGGGTTTTAGGTAATTAATCCTTAAAAAAAAGACACTAAATACAAGTGTGCAACTCTAATATAGTCTTACAGTAATTTGAGTGGAACAAACACCATGTGTCCGTGTTTCAAGTTAAATTACTCATATGGAGTCTTAACTATCTAGGTTTCAGCACGTAGAATCACAATTATAATCATAATATCTCTAATCTACAAGTGCCATGTCAAAGAAATTGTCTGAAATGGAAATTTCATGTATCCCATAATTTCATACTTTCACAACGTATTTGAATTGAATTAATTAGCTTTCTCATCTACCACTCTTTATCTGCAGAGAAGGTCCATAGTAGCAGAAATAGTCCTTCAAATTGATCTTCACCGTCAAGATTGTGGATGCAAATTTTCTCCTCTTCGATCTTGGACGATTTTGCACCTACAAAACAACTAGCACCTTAGGTTAAGGCCAAGAGCCTCACGCGCCCACGATGAATGGGAGGGGCTTTGGCCGAAGAACCTCCGATGCCAAAGTTAGAATTTTAGAGAGAAATAGTGTTTAGAGTATTTGTGATTTTTTGTGAGAGAGTTGGAATGAATTTTTGGTGAGAATATGTGTTTATTTATAGAGTTAGGGTTTGCCCTATTGAATAATAGTAGTCAGCCATAGGGTTTTTGTGGGGGTTAATTTCATGTTTAATTTGCCAATTTATTGGCTAATTAAATATGAAAATAATAAATGGGTGGTTATAAAAATGAATGATTATTTTAATAAGGAAAATGGGAAAGATGAGGATGTTATGGAATGTTTGAAATAAATGGCTAA